GTACAACATCATCAGGATTGAATTACACAGCTCTCAGATAGCAAACCCAGAGGAATACTGTTTAAACGACAGAAATTAGTGTACATTACCACTTAGGCAAATTAGAGCAACGTTTACCTCATGATGTCACCCTTCAGCTTCAACAGAGCCTGTCTAAGTCCCTTCTCACTTGTGTCTGTATAAATCTAGAGTAATTTCATGGAAGTCAATACATCGTACCTGAATACGTGTCTGCAGCAGGGACATCTCTGTTCAGGGCTACTACTTCATTGATTTCTGATTCTTTACAGCTGCTGAACTGCTGGTTAACTAACAAAAACATTGGGCATCTAGAAGTTCAGGCATTGAAACAACACTGACTACACCAAAGCAATGAAGAAATGAACTGAAATCCATGAATTAATCCTTTCCGACGCTCACAGGAAATTATAACACAGCTAAGACATGAAAAAATAATTTCCACTGCTCTTTTGTTAAGATGATTCATTTCTCCACTATCATGCTTTACTTCTGTCAAAACCACTTGCAAATAAAATCTCCATTTGCAGACATTTAAAATGTTGAAACTTGGATATGCAGGAATGAGCAGTCATATGATTTTAAATCCATTTGCGCGTTTGAATCTTCACAAAATAGCTGCTTTTCTTGTATTTTAATTCTGGTAGCAAGCCAGCTGAGGCCAGAGGACCAAAGATCCACTTTGCATCTCTAATGACTGTCACAACACTCTCCTTAGTCATTCTGGGACTCAATTATCTACTGTGTTATGGGCACCCAACATTTTATTCAACTTAAGACACCTTGCCTAGGACTGCTCGGGTCAGTATCCACCCCATCAGACCCAAAAGTCGCGGGGAAAAGTCACTTACCTCTTTCTCATGGGGTGTTTCAGTACTATATGGAAAAGATCTAGCAGAAGAGATCCCATTACATCCAACCCTGAGATCAGGCCAACGGCCAGCATAGGAAGCCAAAACGTCAGACCAGCTCCAGTCCTATGCAGGAGTCAGGCTGAGCAGCATGAGCTGGGTTTTCCATGGTAAAAGAACATCTTCCTTGAATTTTGATCTAGTTTTGGTGTAGTTCTTCCCTTCTTGGTGAAACTGGAAGAAACAAATCTGTAAAAGGTTGGATTTGTTTTCTAAATCAAAGCTGCTTTGTCACAGGAGTCTACGAGGTTCTTAAAAGTCACTTAAAGGGCAGGAAACATACAAAATCCTGCAATGTAGATAGACACTGCTGGTCTCTGCTCATCAAAAAGGAAAAAGCGAGCATCCCCACAGAGGGCAGTGTCAGCCCATCAATCCTCCTTCCCCAGCAGGAGACAGCCACCGCCTGCTTCCAAAGCTCCAATGTAACAAAAAGGATTAGTACATCTACAGGTTCCTGGTTATTATTTTAGCTGCTGCTGCTGCACTAAAGCTTCCACTAATTTCCAAAAGCAAACTGTGTATTGCATTCCTCTCAGCATCCTCCTCCTGCTTCTGCCCACCAATGTTTGCTTTTCCCTGAAGAAAGATTTCCTGACTGAGAACATTTATTTTTACTTTGAAGGGTGCTACACTACATGCCAGGACCCACATCTACTTGGAGCCCTCCTAATGCCTTTGGCTTTGTGGCACATAAAACCGTGGTCTTCCACCAGTACAAATGTGCTCTGAGTCTGGTCCTACCTCTGCCCAGCCTGTTCTTAGATATTTAGCTGACAGCCTAACAGGGAGGAAACAGACTTTCATTATGGCTGATGAACACTGAAACATTTACATGAACGGTCACCACAAAAATCAGAGAAGAGACCAGGATGAGAAGAGGGAGAGTCTGGAATTTTTGGGTTCTTTTTTGTTTATTTGTTTTAGAATGAATCGTAGAATCACAGCCTGGTTTGTGTAGGAAGGGACCTTAAAGCTCATCCAGTTCTAACCCCCTGCCACAGGCAGGAACACCTTCCACTAGAGCAGGTTGCTCAAAGCCCTGTCCAACCTGGCCTTGAGCACTGCCAGAGATGGGGGAGCCACAGCTTCTCTCAGCACCCTTTGCCGGTGCCTCACCACGCTCATAGAGAAGAAAGAAGGTTCAGGTTAGTTCATATTCTGCCACAGAGGATTCACCCATCCTCAAACTGGTGGGAAAACCTTAATGGGACCTCTAACAAGTATTAAGAAACACAAAGAGGTACTCCACAGCCATAGAAATCAATGCGGGTTTTTGTTTGCTACTTCTGTCCAGCTTCTACTCCCTTTGACAAAGTAAGACATGGGGATGTACAGATAAAATCTTTCAAACATGTTATTTAGCTACTCATGGAATATAAATCCTTGCAGAAAAAAAAAATACGTTAAGGTGAGTAATTTGACTTTTGTCCAAATTCCTACAGATCAAAGCAGAACTTAAGTTATACAGGTTGACACTCCTATCAAAGGGCAGTATCACCACCACGTGGGGTTTTATTTGATATTGATAGAGCGATAGTGTTGAAATATAAATAATTCCCACTGCTATTATTTTATTTCCATGGTTTCACAATAGTCACGCAAGTTATACTAGTAGTCTCCAAATAGCTTGACTTTATACAAGTCATAGAATCACGAGATGCCCATTATCACACACTGATAAACACACACACATACCATTTAATTCAATCATACAGTAGAAAATGTCTCACCTGATTAATGAACGAGGACAATAAGTGACAAAATGATATTATTAGGATAATTTTTGCAGCCACTTTTTATTCCAAAAAGTTGTATTCTTGTAAACCTGATATTTCCAAAACAGTGCAAGTGAATTAGAATACAGGTGAACACGAGCTTCTAAATACAGGTGACATCAATAGGAGTGAACACATTCTTCCAATCACAAGTTCACAAAAAGAAACATACAATTTTACAATACGTAAGGAGTGACATTCTAAGAAAAAGGAGTGACAATGGTGTGGGTACCCTACTGTGTATGCAAATCATGCTCCAAAAGCAATTACAGTCTTCATGCCAGTTTAATCAATACACACTACATGAACCAAATCCTACTTTCATTTATGTCCAACAAACCCTAGCAAGTGGATGAACTTGGGCAAAAGTAGAAATTAGTTCCATGACTTCTTAACCCTTTAGTGAAAGCAATATTATATATTCCTGTGCCACATGGATGCTATGCTGGAAATTTGTGCAAGACTCCAAAATGTGCCCATAAACACAAGACACTCAAGAAAATCGATAGTAAATATTGCAAAACACAGTCTTTGCACAACTGTTGCTTTCAGCAAAGTTACCTGTGAGTCACTGACTTGTATGTAGGGTCCTTCCCATTCATGTATCAAGGCAGAGATGGTTGTCCTCACTGGTATGCTAGGCATTGCAAAAGCCTTTGCCACTTTGAGACGAAAGTGGATTACAGGCTTGGGGTTCACATCAAGCACAATTTCTCTCTCAGTTAATCCAAATGATTTGTAAGGTGACTTCAATTCAGAGGCTGCTCAAGTGCCTTCTACAGTTTCCTGACTTCCTCATTGTAACTGAGCAAATTAAAAAATTACGTTTGTTCAGAAAAACAGCTAGTATTTTGTTAGCTACAATGGCCAAGTAGGGTGAAAGCCTCAGAGTACACCAGCCATGCTGTTCTGTGGGTGTACTGATAGAAATTCACAAGGGCGGATGCTTGGCTTTCAAATGAAATGGTCACAAAACATGCTGTGCAAAGTAGCAAGTGCTTTCACCTCTTGAGAACTGAAATACATCCTTGTGCTGTGGGCCACCAGAACTCTGAAATGGCTGTGATCTTCTTGATGTCAAGATGAAATTAAATGGGGTTGCCACAGCACAGGCTCTTCAGGAAGTGAATTTTAATTTAATCTTCCCCCCTCCCTTTCTTCCTAAGCATATTTGTCTGAGATAGATTCTTTTCTTCCTACCCTAAAATCAACTTCATGGGTACTCTACATAAGAAGACAACCTGCACATTGCTAGCTCCAGGGCTTAAACAAAAGATCTCTTGGATGTCAGGTGATGGATTTGAAAACATTACTGCCCCACTTTAAAGCTTCCACCTGCATAGCTCGGAGCCAGTGCAAAGCGAGCCTGCTGCCGAAAAAGATTATATGAGAATTCAGCAAACTTCTCCATGAAGTTGTTCCAAGACAACTCATGACTTTGTCCTGAAATGGATTAACTGGAGAGAACTGGTACAATGACTTTCTCCCAGCTCTGTGGCACAAGCGGTACAGCACAAAGGAACTAACAAGCAGCTGACAAAAGGGAACTTCCAGAGCTCTAGAAGCAATTTCCAAAATAACCATGTCTCTAGATTTCGATACAATTCCATTTATTGCGATTTCTTAATTTGAAAATCCCATCAGCTCCATAGCACAGCTCTTTCTACACATTCTTGAACTATATTACATTTCCATAAGATTTTGGGGTTAGAAGATGATTGCAACCAACTGATATTAGAGTTTGGTGGTTTTTTGTTTGTCTTGTTCAGTTGCTTTTTAAGGAGTGGAAAGGTGCATCTACAGGATCGTAAGTACTGCTATGTTTCATTGTCTAATCTGACTATCCTAACTGGAACCAAGCAAGAGCCACAATGGAATTTGACACACACAAAAAAATAATTATGAAGAGTATACATATAAAAACAAAAGCATCTGTGACAGCAGAACTACCGAGCATCTAACAGTGGCAATACTAAGAATGTATGGGTTATTTCAAGAATATGTCAGTAATCTGGCCAACAACTAGATTTTCACTGAGTGATGGCTTGTGCTGGATCAATAGCAGACAATTCAAGTCAGAGATCAAAAAAGTCCAGTGCAGGCTCAATCAAATGGGATTTAATTTTTAATCATTTTTAACTTTAACCAAATAAGAAAACGTTCTTTGCCTTGAGCCAAAGAAAAAAACCCCCACAAAAAAAAAACAAATAAAAAACACTTAAAAATGCTTCCAACACAATATAAAATGCTAAATGGGTATTTATTTTTTCCATCTCTTTTCTTCATATACTCCAAAAAGATGTTTCAAAGGAATAACTAATCTTGAGTTTTAAAATACTGCCATCAAACACTTTTAGCAGATCTGAAAGCAATGCTTTCTAAGGGAACTTCCTCCTTTTTTTGGATGGAGACTTTCCAATTTAGTTGAATTCACAAATTTCACTTGTTCCCTGAAGCAAATTTATTTCTTTATCATTTTGAGGGGGGTCAGTTTTAGAAAGGGCAGGTACTGAAATGTCTTACAGCTGAATAAATGGACTTCTTTTTCAGCAAATACTTTAAGAAATGTCTTACTCAATTCACAGTTGTGAATCAATCTCATGTTCAAATTCGATTTGTCTTAGGTATTTCTCAGCAACAGAAAAAATAGATACGTTAGGTTGAAATACTAGCAAAACTAACTGAAGCCAAATATCATACTGCGAAGAATTCAATGGCCTCGAATACAACAGTGCAGTCAAAGGCCATCAGCCTTTTGTTTTTGCACTCTGATAAAAAATCTGCAGTCCACTATATGTGGTTACAACAGGATTTCAACTCAGCAGGTTTCTTTTCAGATTCTGGCTTAAGTGATCATTTGTTATATGAAATATGCCAGATCACCAATGATTGTTTTAAGAAAAATAACTGAATAGACTAATAGCTTTTCTTGTCAAATGTTGAATCAATGCACTTCATTCACTTAAAAACCATCTTCTGCCTAATGGGTGCAGGTAGTTAAGTTAATAAATATTGATTGGTACTATTGTAATAGCAGGCACTTACTGCCAGTGAAGGAAAAAGGCAAACAGCAATATGGATGTAGTTAATTTCTTTAAATTTAAAGCAATAATGAATTTGGCAAGGAAGAGCAACAATAAGACCTGTTCTCAAGCAGATTTGTTGTATGGTCCCTGTATTCAAGTTTCCAAACTTCCAGCAGTTCTTTTACCTTACTCTCACGGAAAGAGAAATCCTGCAACCATCATTCCTGTTTCTCCTTCACCTTCTACCACAGAGCTCAACCCTTCTTTCCCTTACATGGATTTTATACCAACATTTACTTTTTATTTACACAAGGTGCAAAGTACAAGTAGAATCTAAACCCAAGTCTTACAGAATTCCACTATTTCTATTTAGAAATCCACAAGCTTTTTGAAGGAACATGGTTGAATCCATTGCAACTAGATTTGCTGTAATTCAGCAAATGATTTGCTAAGGAATTACCAGCAAATAAAGTGTCAATCTGAAATCAAGTAACATCTGCACCTTGACTAAACTTCCTTTTTAATGCTTGAGGAAGGATGACATTCAGTACTTTGAACACTCAAGCCAGGAATCTCAAAATCCAAACATTTTAACCCTTGTATCTACTTATATCTCTTAAAATTATCACATAAAGAAACTCATGACTCATGTATAAAACCCACAAGGCAGGCATAATGTTCATAACTTGTAGCATTAAATCACTTGCTCTGACAGCAACGGATCATAACCATAAACAGTAGCTTAAAAACTATCCTTAACATTAATATTAATATGGCTTCATTATTATTATTATTTTTAATTCCAAGGAATTTGTCAATGCCACTGTGGTTGGCCCAGTTACATCCTTCTGGTATCTCAATTGTACAGTCCGAGACCATTATCAAAGTACTAAAGACTGCAAGAGAAAACTTCCCAAAGGAAGACATTCCGTGATGCTTTCTTCAGTGAGCCATAGCAAGCTACAAGTCTTGCTACACGTCAATGAGGGAACATTTTCATCCTCTCCCATTCAGGCCAGTAAAGGACAGACTCAGATACAGAACATCACATCTGTGTAATACATTAGGTTCTTCAGTTAATAAAACACCAAATTCAACTAAAAAAAAAAAAAAAGAGATAGTGAAAAAACTTTGGCTTATTGCCATTAAATGGTCTACACACAACATTACCAAGCCTTGTGAATTAAGCATATGAGGATTTCAGCTACTTTCATCTGCAAATCTCTCTCTTCTCTCTTGCATTGAAGTTTAAAAGTACAATACAATTTGTATATACATATATGTATTTCCAAGGGTTTAGCCAGATATCAGTGCTTGAGTGAACTATATAGCTATTCAATAGAAACTATAAAACATTGATACAAATATAAAGACATAATCATTATAAAAAGCCTATATTTATAAAAAATATTTTTAGGTAACAGTCTTCCCCTGAGGGTATACCACATAGTTGGATTCATAAATATTGCTCTGCACTGCAGCTTGGTTACCAAAGTTCAAAGTTCAGCTCTTAAATGAAGTGTAAATCGCTCCAGTCACCTGACATGGCTGCAGTGGTTGCCTCAGGATTATGTTCCCTAGCTTGTTGGAGTGATAAAGACACAGCATCAACGGGGTCTCCGAAAAATCTGGAGAAGATTCCTTCTTCCACATATGGAAGATACGAGAGCAGGACCTATAGGCTAGCAAGCACGTGTCACATGACTGGGCTTTAGTTTTCATGGGCAGTTCACTGATTTTTCTGAACCCAGTCCCAACTATCTTCATTCTCCTTCCTGCTCTTTTCGGCCTCAATAATTTCTTTGTACCTCCGGCGGAAGAAGCCCATCTGCAAATCAAGAAGAGATGACAGTGGTAAGTAACAGCACCATTGCATTGAAACTTACTTTGTCAGAAAACAGTGAGCAGGAAAAAGAACAGCATAGGTACTAATATCTAATTTCTCCTATTGCCGATCTGGAATCAGAGCTCCTTGTTTACAAGATCAACCCAGGTCCCAAATCTTCCCAAGGACTCTGCTCCTTACAGATGAAATACTCCGAGGGAAGAGCCCACTTACAGGAAATATGTTTTTAAAACAAATGCACACAAAGCGTTTCTAATAAACACAGACCAGAAGAGGCAGATACGGATTTATTGGTTTCAAATAAAGACCAATGTAAAATTGGGATCTGAATCTAAAGCCAGCCTAGAGCTTGAGTCCTGTGTAAATGAAGTCCCATTGCTACCAACTGTGTAATCTGCAGCTCAGAAAGCAAAATACAAGCCTGATCCTACAAAATGTATGCATCAACCATAACTCCTCCACAAGCCTTCAAGATGCTGTGGGGCTGATAATCACTTTTGCATGTCTTTTTGTTTCTTAAACCCTTGTACTTAGTTCTAGAAATGCAAGCAGTTTTCATTTCAGTTTGGATAAAATAATTCTCATGTTGTTTTCTTAAGTCTTCCAAGTAAACAAAAATGATTTTAATAACAGACTTTGGTAAGCATTCAAGAATAACTCCTCCAACTTAGCAGTGCACTATTGAGACCACCGAATCAATATTTTGTTCATCACAATTAAACATTTATGTAACTCCTACCACTCTAAACCTGTTTTCTTATTCCTGGTGGGTAAAGCATGATGCCTTATTCTTCCTTTATCAACCAGTTATTACTATCCTTTATTCCCAAATTGGCTATATGCAGGAATATTTGGTCACGACTAAGTTGGGCTTTTGAGTTTCAGTTCTTTAACAAGTTCAATTTTCTTCAAGTATATTTTAACCCACAGGGGTCTGAAAGGCAGCTTGTTCAACCTGCTGAGGGTGCTTTCCTAAATCCCAGGTCCTTGCCAGTGCTCCCAGCTACATTCTGAATTCACTCCATTGTGATACCAGGCACAGACCATCGTCTCACCACCAAAGGATACAGAAGCTGCAACATGGTCTAACAAAACATGTTGGTCTGGATGACTGTGGACCACATCTCTGGTACATGCTATTAATCTGGAGACAGGTGTACCCTCCTGGGTGCACAGATGTACATCACACACACACACAACCACTTTATAAATACACAATACGTAGACATACACATAAATGACAACCATCCCAACATTACAGCGGTCCCATGACCCTCTGGATGCCCTCAAATAGCTGGAACTAGACCTTAAAAGCCATCTGTTCACATTTTTGTGCACAGACTACGGACACTGTCTCTTTCCCATCTATCATAAGCAAAGCTTTATCTGATGCTCAATGCATGGATAATGGTGCTTCTGTTCTAAGAAACTACCTCACAAAAGGGACACTGTTGAATTTTGGAGAGCCACATCTCCCTTGCTTCCTAGCATTTCTGATCATGTATGCAAGGATTCAGAAAGCAAGAATTAATGAAGAGTATCCTTATTCTTCAGACTTGCTCTAGAAGTCAGATCAAGTTCTTTCTTGAGTGGAAAAATAACTTTAGTAGTAATTTCTATACTTATACCTGGAAGCTATAGAAGTGCAAAGGATATATTTAGAGAAGATATCCTCAAGATAGCACCACCATAAAATCCCAGTGAAATTTCACCACTGACGCCAACATACTTCTGCTCAATGGAGACTTGAAGCCAATAGCTAAAGTTTCCCATTATTTTCACAGTCAAAAATTAAGTTAAATTATTTTATTGGGAATAGGCAAAAAAAAAAAGTGTAAAAACCCATTACTCCTCCATTACTACTCCTCTGTTTTTCTACCCCAGTAGAATTAATCAAAGGTACTTATTTTAGTCTTTTAGTCACAGGAGTCTGCAGCGATTCTTACGTATGTTCAGGGAGCAGATGTGTTGAAGAAGTGGGTGCCATTTTTATGTTATCAGTTTTTGTAACAGACCTACATGTTCTGCACATTAGAAAAAGAAAATTGCCACAGGACTTTGTTTCCCAAGATTAACAGGAGAAGTTCAATTTGTAGCTTTTAAAAACAGGTTTTAAACCCTTAAGTTCTCCATCCTTCATACAACCACATCCTTGGTACAATAAAATCCTCTCTTGAAGTTATAATCAAAATTATAGAAAGGCTTTTTAATTTCCTCGAGGGCCAAACAAATGAAAGCAAGCTCCTTCCAACTGTTATTTTAATAAAAATTGTCTGTTTGTGAACATCTGCTTCAGGAATTCTTTTTAAAAGTTGGTTATGATAGTTTTAGTATTTTACTATTTCGTTACTGAATACAGAATGCTTTTGTATAACTTTCTAGTAGGGCAGAAAAGTGAGCTGAAGACTATAATAAATGTTAATGGAACGTGAAATCCTACATGTAGAAGCAATTCGACTATGAAGCTATACGTTTACATGCTGTAAGTGATGTGGATAACCTATAACTATGTGGAGGACTTAATTTGAGTGCAAGCAAAAAGATAAACTTTAAGGATATTTATATTTGGGTTTTTTACATTTTTTAAAGTAGTGGTCAGGGATTAGATGTATTTCCTACCCCTTAAAGGCAATAATATGCTTTGTTATGGGGTACCGTTCCTTACTCTTCACACCATATATATCTGCTTAACATGGTAGAGTCCCTATCATCACCATAAAGGGTTTTTTTTTTTGTAATGGCCATGAAGAAATCACAACATAGTTGTTGTCTCACAAGGGAGAACACAACTCACATAACCATTTCCTCAGAATAAACTGATTTCATTAAAAATGACAGCCATATTAACCCATATGGTAAGGGATGCTAAGTGCCTGTGGCAACCTGGAGAGAACAAGTGAATTTAACATGCAGCAAGGAGATACAGGGGTAATAAGGAGGAAGACACTTAGACCAAAGCAGGAGAACTGATGAAACATGGGGCTGAGTATATGCTGTTTCTTTTGTCACTGGGGCAGAAGTGACACCAGAAAATGTCTTTTCTGTGGCTAATGCAAAACCCTTAAGGAACCACAGAAAGCCCAGTAAGGACATCACTACAGGGACTCAGTGCTGGATTTCAAACAGGGAGAGATCAGCTTTAACAGGAGTATTGCCGTGGTATCATTTGTGGAATGGGTGTTTACAGTAGGCCAGTGGTCTCCAACCTATGTTTGTGGGCAATGAGTCTCTAATATTACTCAATTGCTTTCCATACACACAGAGTTACATGTCTGTACACATACTGTACAGAGGAAGAGCAACAGGAGAACATACTTACAGGAAGCAAGGAGAGAGTACCTTGGGAAGCTGGATAGCTATAATGGAAGAAGGCATCAACAACCAAAGACAATGGAGGAAATGAGAGAAACAAACTACAGTTCAGAGTTGGGTGAAAATTATTTGGGAAGGCTGAGGAGACCTTCTTGAGTTATGGGTCTTTTGGATCATTGTGGTTAAAAGAAAGGTCTCAGGAGCAGAGCACTGCTCAGCATGTACCATGCTTTACTCTTAACCCTGGCAGACCTTACCAGAGGGGAGCTCCTATGCCAAAGGTGCCATATCCTACTTTGTTCCTTCTGTAGGTACAGAGGAAACAAAGAGGAGAAAGAGGGCCACTGAAGACTTTGAGAATATAGGGACAGTCTCAAAATCCTGGGGCTATCAGTGTCACAATGAATTCATGACCTACGCCAGGGAATGGAGAGAGCATCTGAACTGCCTGTGAATCCACACATTGTCATGTTTCACATCTGCCATGATAAACTGCAAAGATTATCTTGCTTTTAAACAAATACTAATTAAAAAATAATCAGACAGAAACAAACACAATGGAAAGAAAAAGTTGGCCTGGTCTTTACCGGAAGTGATAAAAAATAATCAGTCCTTTCTGGTAAGTATTATTGCTGCTATAAATAGGTGGTTTAGATGCAAAACCTGAAACCACCTGTAGGTTTTACACACATTCCTTAATTTAGTTATTCTAGCCCGTGCACCCTTTTCTAGCATACCCTTACTGCCATCTACAGCATAGGCTGAGCAGAAAGCATGTTCCTGCCAAAACTGAACAATAAGGCAACAGAAAATCTGTGTTACTCGTAGGCTGAGGAATTACACCTGTTATTGTGAAGTTACTTCTTGCCATGCAACAGCACCGTCAAGTCTTCAATCCTGAGTACTTAAAGTATCTTTCACTGTTTAGCTGTCATGCCAGATTTAAATCCCTTAAAATCACAGGTAAGTCATAACTAGACAACACTCACATAAAATTGCATTCTTCAAGCACTCACACAAATGGAAAACTTCAGTCAAAGTGATTTCAAAGTGTTGAATTAGCGTCACAAAACATATTGTCTTTTTTTTTTTCTGCTGCTATTTTCTACATACCCGAACACCGATCACTGAATTACTGGACTTGATATTTTCCTAAACTCTCAAAGCATAAACATTTGTCCAGCGTTTCCTGCAGTACCATCCCGTGTCCCTCTCTCTCTGGGGTGCCAATTGGAAGTATGTTTCAAGAGTGATGATACTACAATCTGCACTTGGGAAAAAACCAAAGCTGATCAGAGGGCAAGCAATATCACTGCCCTTGTTATATTCACTGTTGGGCAAATGTCTAAAGCATTTTTATCATACCCGTTTTTATCATACCCATTGTGGCTTAGTTTCCCAATCAAATAAAAAGAGAAACAGTTTGAAATGCAAACTGTAGAAGAATAGTTATATTTTTGTTGGGTTTTTTTTTTTTCAAGTCTTTGTCCCATTAACTTCATCTATTAAGAAGCAAGAAAAAAACACTAACAGTTGTACACCATTGTAAAACAATCATTATGTCGATTTACAGTAGTGTTTTGAGACTATAACTGAGCTAGGAATAGAGGTTTGTGAGTGACAATGTTCAAACAGAATCCAAACAATATATCAGAGACTTTTGCCATGTT